TATGAATATTTATATTTAAAATTTAATTTAATATTAATAAATAAATTATATATTTCCTAATGTAGAATAATAAACTATGATGATAAAAGAAAATCCAATTGATTTAAAAGCAATTTTTGTTGTAAAAGATTATTTTTTACTACAGTATTATCTTTTTCTAAAGATTGAACCCATTCTTCAAGATTTTGAATTCTATTTTCATGATTTTTAACAACAGTATTTAATCTTTTAATTTCATTTTCCATTAATGAAGGCTTATATTTCAGACAATCAAGATTATTTTTAAAACAAAATTCACATTTTCTTCATTTTCCTCTGATTGAATACATTTTATCCTTTTAAATCTACAAATAGAACATATAGTTTTTTCAGTTTTCGTCTTTAATTTTCTTTCTTTTGTAATTTTTGGCATTTTTGATTAAAAAATAATAACAAAAAGTATTTATATTTATATTTTTTATAAAATTTATTTATTATTTTTTTTATATAAATAAATATTATTTTCTTTATTTTTTCAAAATTAAAAATGTCTACTGAAAATTTTGAACAAGAAACTAAAAATTCACTTTGGAAAAAAATTCAACCTATATTTAAAGTTATTTCAGAATTTCATGGAGGAAAAAAATCAAACTATAATAGAAAAGATAAACTTTTTAATCAGATCAGACTTGTAACTATTCAAAAATTAGTTTATCTTGAAGTTAAAACTCAATTAGAGAATATAACTTTTCTCTGTGAGGTATCAGATTATACTAAACTTAGAAAACATGTTTGGATAGCTGATAAACCAAAAAGATCAAATACATATTATATCACAACAAAAGTTAAAATAGATAATAAATATAAAACTTTATATTTTCATCGACTGCTTCATCCTGAATGGAAAATGATTGATCATCAAAACAGAATTGGATTTGACAATAGAGAAATTAATCTCAGAGAAACAACTCCAAGAGAAAATGCTTTAAATCGTAAACTATTTAAAAATAATACTAGTGGATTTAATGGAATTAGTTATGACAAATGTAACAAAATGTGGAGATTTCAATGGATTGAAAATAAAATATATAAACAAAAATATTTTAAAAATAAAGAAGAAACAATCAAATTCAAGCTATCTCATAATAAAATTACTAGCAATCAAAATGGATATTCTGTTTAAATTTTTATAATTTATTTTGTTTCTTTAACATTTTCAATATAATTATTTTGAAAATTATATTCGTTACAATGATCTTGTAAAATAATAAAAAAAAAATTATCAGGAATATCTTTGTTGATTTTAAAATCAATACTAATATAACGATATTCTTTTTCATTTTTTTGAATAAATAATAAAATAAAAATTTTAACATTATCAGAAATATGTATTTCAGAAAAATAATTATCTTTATCTAAAGAATCTTTTATATTTTTACCATACTCTTCAATCCAATTTTCAATTATTGCATCATGAGTTTCAGGATCAGAGACAAAATCATTTACTGTTTTTTGATATTCATAGTTTGGATTTGTTTCGCGTAATTTCAAAACTTGTTCAGGATTAAAATTGATTGGAATATTTATTTTCTAATAAAATAAAAAAAAATACATATAAAGAAAAAAAAATTAATTTCCAAT